GCCAGATTTACATACAGTGGCGCCCCGCAAGACGAATGCCTCGCAAGACGAAAAACCCGCTAGACGAAAGGGTTTTCCGTTTTTGAGTTGCTTCGCAAGACGATTTTCCCTATGGGCTTGCTTCGCAAGGGTTTTCCGTTTTTGAGTTGCTTCGCAAGACGATTTTCCCTATGGGCTTGCTTCGCAAGACGAAAACGTCTTGCGAGTCTTGCGATTTTTTTTCGCTCCCCCCCTTTTCTAAGCCGCTAAGCCGCTAATAGCCCTTTAGCCGCTAAGCCTTTAATAGCCGCTAAACCGCTAATAGCGCTAAGCCGCTAAGCCACTAATAGGGTTGCTTCGCAAGACGAAAAAACCGCTAGACGAAGAGACTCGCGGAACGGATTATTTTCATCTTGTGAGGCACCACTGTATAAGCTAAACAAGCTATAGCTTAGGGCCCCACTCTCTTAGGGACCCCAAAAAACCAAAAGGGGGGAAAAAACGCTGGATATACATTTCCAAAATATAAGATAAAAAGCAAATAAAATAAAACCTGCATACAGCAACAGTGTTTTGTGTTGTGTAGGCTCCTATGATGTAAGCAATGGGCCCCGCCTGCTAGCCTGCTCCCTAAAATATCACTGGTTTACTCATTTCTATATATAGGGTGCCTACATTCTGCATGTGCAAATGGCTTTAGATACCTATTAGGTTAAGGTTAGCAGATTTTTTTTCAATGAATCCGGGGACACTTTTTAACGTCCTACTAAATAGATGGATTTTGTCAGGGGACTGATTTGTAAATCTGGGGACTGTCCCTGGGAAATGGGGATGTCTGGTAACCTTAATTTGAAGGCATTCTGTGCACACAATAAGCCAGCTAGATAGAGTCAGCTAGATGCATAGTGTTGTGGGCCAAAAATGGCTTATCTTCTGAGTTTCCGCCATTAAAACTCTGAGACAAGAGGAGTTAGGAGTCCATTGTTGTTTACTGCTAGGCAATAGGTTACAGTCGAATTGTTTCACAAAACTGCAACCCTGCCCAAGGGTCGGGGAGGTGGTATTTATAACATTTCAAAAAAAGGATATCAATTTTCACCAATCATGTACATCATGACCTCATTTCATGTTTAATACACATGCGCAATAAAGTGTTAGCAATTTCTGTTGATTCAGCTTTGATTCCCAGCGCTCTCTGTTAAAATACTAACTTCTGTTACATTGTGTTAGTAGGCATGTTGGGAACCTGTGTTACGTGTATCCATTTGCACCATGTATCAACTTATGTTCTAGCTTATGAACAGTATCTTTGTGATTCATATATTAGCTGTACTTCTTCCCCAATGGGGGTGGCAACTTGCGAAAATCATCAGTTTCATAAAGCAACGGGTTACCATAACTTCTCTGTTAGAAGCATACTCAAGGATTTATAGGGGTTCACATTATCCTATTTATTGTGGCTCTTTAGGCCACCACTACAATAGGACAAAAACCTTTTGGTATTTAGGCTGTGGCCTGTTAGGCTGCTGAACGGAAAATAATACAGTGGTACCTCGGGTTACATATGCTTCAGGTTACACACTCCACTAACCCAGAAATAGTGCTTCAGGTTAAGGACTTTGCTTCAAGATAAGAACATAAATTGGGCTCCGGCAGCGCGGCAGCAGCAGGAGGCCCCATTAGCTAAAGTGGTGCTTCAGGTTAAGAACAGTTTCAGGTTAAGTACGGACCTCCGGAACGAATTAAGTACTTAACCCGAGGTACCACTGTACAGTGGACGCTCGGGTTGCAAACGTGATCCGAGTGGGGTGCACATTCGCAACCCGCAGCAGCACTTCTGCGCACGCACAGGTTGTGAGTCAGTGCTTCTGCACATGTGCAAAGTGCAATTTAGCGCTCTTGCACATGCGCGACCCCCAAAACCCAGAAGTAACCCGTTCCGGTACTTCCGGGTTTCGGCGGGTCCGTAACCCAAAAAAACACAACCTGAAGCATCTCTAACCCGAGGTATGACTATATAGTGCAACTGACTTTCGAGGTTGGTGTGTTGTGCGACAAGCACACAGAGTGCAATGAGATTGAGTGTTTGTGGGGTGGGGAGGCTCGGTTAACTTCATTGTGCATAGGTTGTACATTGACAATAAAGGTATTCTTATCATTATTTGTCTTTTGCGTAGGTAAGGCTGTGGTTGTGGGAATCATTACAGCAAACGCAATATCTGCATAGTAAGGAAAGGAGTTGTTCAGCTACCTGCTGATAGGAGAAGGGGTTGACATGAAAACGTTATGGTTTTGAATCATCAAGGCCTACGTTATCAAAGCCTCGAGCATTTATATTGAAGGTTTGTTTATTGTCAGTGGCGCCTAAGGCAACCTTTTATAGCCTTGTAAGCTGGTTGGCTTTAATTAACGATGCTCATGAGAAGACTGCATGCAGCATGCCACTGTTTGGCAGGCGTAATTAACACTCGATACACCTAGACAGGGTGGCAGACGCCGTAATTAATAGAGGCTCCTGTCTGTTCACCAGGGGCCCAGAATCCAGATCTAAGTGCTCCCTATGGAGTCTTGATTTGGGGACCTGGGAGATAGGAAGCCAAATTAATGATGTTAATTCTCTGGGTCTTTGTCATGGCAGATGGGAGCGACAGATATCACCTAGGGAGAATGCTTGTGGTAGGTCATCAGAAGAAATACTTATCTGAGGAGTTTTCTTTAAAACGTCGCTATGTTAAGATAATGAAAGAAATAAGTAAGTGAGAACCTTCCCCCCACAAATGACATTTGCTTATTTTGGAAATATATAGCCATCAAACAAGATATTCGGGTCCGGTCAATGAAAGAGAAACTGTAAGCTGCTCAGCAGACCTTAGGAGAATTGCTAGCTATCTCTCTATCTGTTTTGTTTCTCCAAGGTTGATCCTGTCAGCATCTGCAAAGGCCTGCTATTGTCCCAATAGCAGCTGCTTGTTTCCGGGTTTTTATCCGCTGGTGTGGTGAGGTTATTGAGGTTGAAGTCTGTTACTCAGTTTGGTTAAGTTTATTATTGCTGTTTTCTGTTCTAGAAGTACAGAAGTGTCCTTGGTCCTGTTGATGCCGGTAGGGTTATATTTAGCAATGTCGTCCCCTGTTTCTGTCCCAGCATTCTCGTCTCAGTTTTTACTTGACCCGATGCAAGACTTGGGTACGGATGTGCAGGTCTGGGTCGATTCACCAGGCCATCGTTTTGGTGTGATGCCATAACAAACACTGAACTGGAGGAAGGACCCAGTTCACTTGCTTTGTTTACCTTAACAGCAGCCGATTAAAAGGAGTTCAAAATAGTTTGTTGTTTGAATGTTTGCATTTACTTCAGCAGCATGTTTGTTAATGGATCTTTAATGATAAATGTGTGTACAGTTTGGGGAACCCTGAATAATATTTGAGATTTGTTTTTTTCCCTATATGAAAGGAATGAAGGATTATAATAAGAGCTAAGTTCAAAAAGAAATAAATAAAATTGGCTTGGATATAGACTAAAGCAGTGTATTTTTTTCTGGGGCGACACAGGGGTATGCATACCCCTAAACATTTTGTGAATCTTTGCACTTTTGTCCATTTACGGTATTTATTTCCCCCAATTTGAACAGTAAATTAGGTGAATTTTCTTGAGTCAAAATGAGGAGTACCCTAAAATTTTTAAGGCAAAAAAAAGCACTGGACTAAAGTATGAACTGATTGCTGTGTCAGGTGTTACTATTAGTTAAAAGCTTAACAACTGGGGCCTTTAAGTTGAAGGTACCTCCCGTACGGCATCTTGACACTCTTTGTGCCCATTACTAAGAGCGGAGGCCAGCCTGTCGAGACACTTCAGTCATTGCCAGCGGACGAAGCTGCTTGTACCAGCGCAGTAACAGAAAGTGGGGTCAGTTACCTGATTAAAAAGGAAGGATCCCTGGATGGTTAAGTCCAGTCAAAGGTGACTATGGGGTGTAGCGCTCATCTCGCTTTCAGGCCGAGGGAGCCGGTGTTTGTCCACAGGCAGCTTTCCGGGTCCATGTGGCCAGCATGGACTAAACCACTTCTAGTGCAACGGAACGCCATGACGGAAACCAGAGTGCACAGAAACGCCATTTACCTTCCCGCCACAACCTATTTATCTACTTGCACTGGTGTGCTTTCGAACTGCTATGTTGGCAGGAGCTGGCACAGAGCGATGGGAGCTCACCCCGTTGTGGGGATTTGAACTGCCGACCTTCCACCGATATCACTTTACCCTACGTATGCCCACTCAACCACTTTGATTGGTGGAATTGGCATTACCTCAGGTGCCACATCATACCTATTCAGCATTTGTAGGAACTTGATTGTTTAGTGTGGCATCACCTGCACTTTGGAACTCCTTGCCTATTGAGCTCAAGCAGATGCCTTAACTCTGCTCTTTTTGGCACCTGCTAAAAACATTCCTGTTTAGAGCCAGTGTGGTGTAGTAGTTAAGAGCAATACTCTCGTAATCTGGGGAACCGGGTTCGCTTCCCCGCTCCTCCACATGTAGCTGCTGGGTGACCTTGGGCCAGTCACACTTCTCTGAAGTCTCTCAGCCCCACTCACCTCACAGAGTGTTTGTTGTGGGGGAGGAGGGGAAAGGAGAATGTTAGCCGCTTTGAGACTCCTTCGGGTAGTGATAAAGCGGGATATCAAATCCAAACTCCTCCTCCTCCTCTTCTTCTTCTTCTTCTTCTTCTTCTTCTTCTTCTTCTTCTTCTTCTTCTTGCCTATTGAGCTCAAGCAGATGCCTTAACTCTACTCTTTTTGGCACCCGCTAAAAACATTCCTGTTTAGACAAGCCAGCTCTTAGAAAATTGAGGTAACTTTAATCTTTTGAATGTTTTAAAGTAGAGTTGTTACTTTTTTCTTGATTTTACTCTCTTTTGCAAGCCGCTTTGAGTGTTTGTTTGTTTGTTTACAATCAAACGATGTATAAATTTAATGAAATAAAATATAGTAAAATTTCTTTTCTTTTGCATTTGGATTTGTTTCAGTTCAGCATATGATACCAAAACAAGGCAGAAGGTGGCAGTCAAGAAGCTTTCGAGACCTTTCCAGTCCCTTATTCACGCCAGAAGAACCTACCGGGAGCTTAGATTACTGAAGCACATGAAACACGAAAACGTGAGTGGAACAGGCTGTGCGAATTGCGAATAATGAGCTTGTAATTCATCTAATCATTTAGTTTTATTAAAATGTTCATCGGTTAGACACAACTGACTTTATTAGGTTTTGGCAAACATTATTCCGTGCCGGGCTGCCATTAGCCTTCATTTTAGATTTGAAACTGGTAAGTAGAGATAGCTGTGCCTCATGCATTTCGTCAGATAAAATAAAAAACCCCTCTTCTTCTATTTCAGGTTATAGGATTACTAGATGTTTTCACACCTGCGGCATCAATAGAAAATTTTAATGAAGTGTAAGTAAAATTTGACCTAAACTTGTTGGCAAGCTGCTAAGATAAAGGCCCAGCCCGAGTTATGCATGCCTAAGTCTTGTTTATTTCTATAGAAAGCATGTGCTCACCTGTCTTCCACTGACGTCTATAGGCCCTGAAAGCAGTAGCAGGCAGTGTTGGCGTTGTGGGGCTGCGTTGCTCGCCCAACCTTCCCGCAGCCAGATTGTTTCAGTACAGTGGTACCTCCAGTTGCGAACAGGATCTGTTCCGGAGGTCCGGCCGCATCCCAAGGAATTTGCAACAAGAGGTTCTGCGCATGCGCGCACGGCGAAACCCGGGAAAATACTTCTGGGTTTGTTGCATTCATATCCCGAAGTTTACGTATCCAGAGGGCTATGTAAGCGGAGGTACGACTATACAGTGGTACCTCTGGATGCAAACAGGATCCGTTCCAGAGCCCCGTTCGCATCCTGAGTAGAACGCAACCCGCGTGTGCGCGGGTCGCGATTCGGTGTTTCTGCGCATGCACGTGACATCATTTTGAGCGTCTGTGTGAGTGGCAAAACCCAGAAGTAATGCGTTCCGTTACTTCCAGGTCATCACGGAGCGTAACCTGAAAATGCTCAACCTGAAGCATATTTAACCTGAGGTATGACTGTATACGGGATGGAAAGGGGAAGGGCGAGGTGGCAGCGAGGTCAGTGCAGTGTAGCTGGGATGCTGCCGCTAAGGCATTTGCACAGCACCAACCTTGCTGTCACCTCACCTCTCCACATCCCATGAAGCTTCAGGAACCTGGCCTGTGGGAAGTCAGGTGAGCAACACAGCCGCTCTGATGCAGCTGTCGTTCACTTCATCTGAACCAGGGCTGGAGAAGGTGCTGTTTAAAATGTAAAGCAAGTACCTGCAGTGTGTGGTGTGTGTGGGTGTGCTTTGTATGGGACAAGAATGGGGAACCTTTGGATCTTGGGACCTCAAGTCCCACCAGTCCATTCAGCGTGGCTGGTTGCCAGGGATGATGGCAGTTGTTTTTCAACACCATCTGCAGGGCAACAGGCTTCCCATACTCCATATAGACAGAACTATTTACTGTGGCATAACAATGGTGACTAAGAACTGGTGCCTGAGCTCCCTCCCAGTCTTTTTCTTTTTGTGTTGTGTCTTTTAGATTGTAAGCCTGAGGGCAGGGGGCAAGGACTATTGATCTTTGTAAGATGCTCTAGGAGCTGCCTCCTCTAAAGCATGGAGCATAACTGCTTTAAATGAATAAACATAGGATATTGATATCTTGCCTGTACGTTATCTAGTGCTTGTTCATTTATTTGTTTATTTTGGGGAAGTATGTTCCCCCATGCTACTGTACTCACAGTATCTGTAACCTCCTTGGCCTTCGTTTCTTAACTTTCGTACACTTGGCTTAATTCTGCACTGAACTCTGTTGGTAGGAGCCAAAGTTTTGCTTCCTCCCATGGGAAGAGTCAGAGGAAGGAAGCGCTGGGTGCGCTCCTGCGATTCCAGAAACCCTAGGCTGAATTCAGTTTCCCTTAGCCATGGTTTGTGACAACCGAGTCTTCATATTTTTCCCATTTCTCAATCTTGTGACCATATAAAATGCATGGAAGACCCATTCTTACTAGTGTCTGGAAGCACTGCTTGCAGAGCCTCACCACGATACCGGGGGAAAAAGACTTTAGAAACAATTGGATGTGATCTGAATGCTTTGTATTTACAGGTATCTTGTCACAAATTTAATGGGTGCTGACCTGAATAACATTGTGAAGTGCCAGAAACTGACAGACGACCATATACAGTTTCTTATATATCAGTTACTTCGAGGGCTTAAGGTAAAACCTATGGAGGGAGGGTAAAAAAACATACTTGAGCTGTAACACAGGATGAAACATCTCTTAAGATAATGCCTGCTGCTCATGTTACTTGTATGTCCTTATTATGTATTCTACAAAAGCCTTGCCCAACAGAAAATACTTCTTGGGTAAGCACTCATAGGTTTTCCCATACCTGCTTGTGTTTAAAACAACATTTTAACCCCTAGTTAATTGATTTGATCAACCTGTTCAGTTAATCAAAATATTGGTTAAACACTGCATCTCAATGTGCCACACAGATGTCAGCAGTGCTGAAATCATAATTTGTGGATTAATGGGATTTGTAAGTTCCTCTATAATTGGCACATATGTTTAAGTTTTGCTGCTTTAGCGACAGGAGAAATGATAGTAGAGGAGCCCTGGTGTCAGAGGCAAACTGTGTTACAAACAGTGTGTCTGGAAGGGCCTTTAAACTCGCAAAAATTACAGATTGAATTGCAAAACACCAGCAGCTTTTCTTACTGGTGCGTTTGCTCCTTACATCACTGAACATTTGCCACATAGGTGGGAATACAGGCTAACCTTTATCTCTTTGTACTGTGGAATAAAAACACCTGCCTGAGTGGATGACAGCTAATAGCTGTCATTAATCACTTGCGTTTGACTTTGTTGTCTGACCTCACCTATTTTCTTTTTATTTAACAGTATATTCATTCGGCTGGAATCATTCACCGGGTACGTTGCACTGGGGATATAATGCACTGTGAGCACATCATTGGTTTGGCTTGCTGCTCTGATATAGTTGCAAGACTGTTTTTACCTCATTTGTTTTAGCCCTGTTTAATGCTCTTAACTTTTTGTTCTGATGCAGGACCTAAAGCCTAGTAACCTAGCTGTCAATGAAGACTGTGAATTAAGGGTAGGATTCATGCTATTTTGATTATTTTTGGTACGTTTTGAACCAAGACTTAACACAAGAGTGGTGCCTGTTGTCATGCCAGCATCTGTTATTAATGGTTGTTGTGGTACCGAGTAAAAACTAAATTGTAAACCTGACCAATTTAAAACTGATCAGGAAGGTCTCTGAATAAATGAGAAGTTTTGGTCCTTTCTTTAGGGCAGTATTTCTACAGTAACTGCTCACAAGAAGTGTTGCGTCCATTTCAGGCCCTGGATAACTAGATGAAATAGTAGATGCTGCAAATATCAAGCAACTACTTGCAGTTTGGAACTAGCATTTTAAAAAGGAAGATGTCCATTAACTAACAGTGCAATCCTTATTCTGCTCCGAAATAAGTCCTGTTCAAAGGGGTTTACTCCCAGATAATTTGAATTTAGGATTACAGGCTAAACTGTAACAGAGACACCAACAGAGTGGGGCCATCTCTGAGTCTAACTTGACAGTTTATAAGACCTTATTGTTTGTACTGGTGTTGCCCTATAGGGCTGCTGGTGGCGCTGTGGTCTAAACCACTGAGCCTCTTGGGCTTGCCGATCAGAAGGTTGGCGGTTTGAATCTGCACAACAGGGTGAGTTCCTGTTTCTCTGTCCCAGCTCCTGCCTACCTAGCAGTTCGAAAGCACACCAGTACAAGTAGATAAATAGGTACCGCTGTGGTGGGGAGGTAAAGAGCTTTCCTGTGCATTCTGGTTTCCGTCACAGTGTTCCGTTATGCCAGAAGACGCTTAGTCATGCTGACCACATGGCCCTAGAAAGCTGTCTGTGGACAAACGCCGGCTCCCTTGGCCTGAAAGCGAGATGAGCACCGCATCCCTGTAGTCGCCTTTGAGTGGACTGAACCGTCCAGGGGTCCTTTACCTTTTACCTTTTTAGATGCTCCTATTTCTGATTTTTTTATAGTTAACATATCATCCTACATTGAGAAATCCTGATTAATTATGTTTATATCCCACTTTTCATTCTGTAAAGCGAGAGAAGACATCTTCTATTTATTTATACATTGTAGATTTTTTAATTTGCTCTATCCCAATCAGTTTTAAGAAGTAATGCAAACACAAAATTGTTCACGTAGCATTGAAAGCAGCAGCTGACAATGCCCATTGAGTGGTTATTACTCTACCTACCGTTACAACGCAACATGAGAAATGGTCTCACAGCCACCAGAATTGCGTGCAGAGCCTGGGCGAGGGATGTTATCCTTGCAATACCCTCCTGCTATGGGGACCTTATCCTGGATGGAATCTATATAATGAAGCAACCTGCAACCCACTGCTGAGAAATCACAATGATCAAAACAATAGATGAATCCCCTTCCTATTAAACTGAAATATACAAAAACTCCCCCTGACAAAGACAAAGGAAACAGCAGCAAAAATTTACTTTAAAAACCCCCTGCTACACTGTTTTCAGAAGCTGTTTTTAATAATTCATCCTGATTTGTTGAAGGGTGGGATATAAATATCCAAAGAAATACAACTATTAAAGTTCTGGATTTAGTGACTTCGGAAGAAAGTTCTCTTAACTGTGGAGCATCTACCAAACACATCCTTACTTGGTAATAATTGATTTTTATGAATCTTTGGGATATCAGTGAGATATAAAAAAGGTGATGTTTTCTAACATAGGAGCCAGTTGAGTCTCATCTGGCCCAAGTTTCATTTCATTTGCTGGCTATTCATTTTGTGTGTGTATAAAATGTAAATTTATTTTATCTCAAAAATAAATTATTAGCTCATGGGGAGGGGGAATGAAAGCATGCTGGTCTGTTTTGGGGATGCAGACCAATTTTTACCTAATTAGTAGTTGTTTTGTTATTCTTATTTGTGAGGTAAGCTCAGTATATCTTTATATGCCTGTGGCCTACCCCCCCAAAAAACCCCGTCTTCATATATTCTGCTTCCGACGCCCAATTTTTTCACCAATAATCAGAGCACAGAGAATATGTATAAGGCCATCTTGTGATGAATGGGATGGATTGTGTCTGCTGCTCAACCCTGTGCAGATGAGCACTGCCTCAGGCGGTTTATAAACATGGGCGTAACCAGGCCTTTTTTTCAGCCGGAACTCTCCGGAACTCAGTTCCTGCACCTCTCAGGTGGGTGCCATTGAACAAGAGTTCCATTGTGAGTTCCAGCACCTCTTTTTCTAGAAACATATGAATGGGAGTAATCCTATTGAATTCTGTGGCTTGAAAATAGCTACGGCTACACATGGCTCACTCATTTTGCAGGGGAAGTCAAGAAGGAAAGAAACCATTTGGAAACCGTATGAGAACAGACAGTGTCTTGTCCCCTTCTTTCCTGGCTGTTGTAAGGGTTTCCACACTTCTTAAAAATCACTCAAATACCTTCAGAGATCCAAACCCAGTCCTTTCATCAGCTGATGGATTGTAGTCCTTTATCATATGCCGTTTCAAGAGCGCCTCATAATTAACGCCAATATTCCAAATTAGTGAGGAACCGCTCACAAATCATGCTGGAGACAGAGGTTCGTCCGTGGCAGGCACATACTTCCCAGGTCACACCTGATCTGCCTTTCAAGTTGGCAGATATGGGTTTAAGCGACACCGTGGGACGCAGTGAACTCCCCAGAACCACCTCAGGTGCAATTCCAGGAATTTTACTTCATACATCCTGGCTTTTGCCTGCCCAAAGAGCTGCACTGCCCCCGAGTCCAGCGAAGCTGAACCATCAAGAGTCATGACGTCAGCCAGAAACCTACTTGAAAACATTTGAATTGGCATCAGTTGGTTTATGGGATGCACTTTTCAAAGTATTTAGATGTTGCCGAATCCTTTCAGTCAGAGTACACTTCCTGAACGTTGCAGTCTAATTGAATGGTAATTGACTTTGTGGATTATCCAAGTGCTCTTGAAAGTATGACCCAATCTCTCCATGTAATGGTTATTTTTGTACCGTGTGTTTTTTTTAAAAAAATATATTAGAAGAAGCTTTGAATTAATAGAAAATGCTTTTATTTTCATCCCAGATCCGCAACAGCTGTCCAGAGAATTAATGAACTTCCGTGAGCATAAGGCTCGATTGGACTATACTATAATATGAGGGAGGGCCTTAAGATCTGATCTTGCTGCTGAAATGCATTAAAATGCTTAGGTTGATACTTATACCTTGGACAACACAGTTTTCCAGTGAATGTAAATCGGTATGGCAGGAAGATATTTAGGATGAATTTTTTTTACATCAAGCCATTGTCTTAAAGACGTCGGTCTCTAAGTCACGACATGCTCAAGTCACAGGTCTTTTGAATTATGCCCTTAATATTCACAGAATATTTTAATGAGGCAGATAAAAAGCTAAATTAAGCCTGGCACAGTGAATTCATTACTGATTAGCTTTCTGGATCAAGTATCCTCAAAAGATTCCAAGTCAAAGAAACAATGATTCAAGCCTCTGCATCTATAACTAAGACATACAAAATAGATGTTTTTACCAGGTGGTGCTTTTGTCCTCGTTTCACAGTCAAAGAAAGGAAATAATCCATGAATGACCTTGTAATGATCTTTAAAGCCCTAAACGGCCTCAGTCCAGTATACCTGAAGGAGCATCTGCACCTCCATCATTCAGCCCGGACACTGAGATCCAGCGCCAAGGGCCTTCTGGCGGTTCCCTCACGCTGTGAAGCGAAGTTACAGGGAACCAGGCAGAGGGCCTTCTCAGTAGTGGCACCCGCCCTGTAGAACACCCTCCCACCAGATGTCAAGGAAATAAACAACTATCTGACTTTTAGAATACATTTGAAGGCAGCCCTGTTTAGGGAAGCTTTTAATATCTGAAGGACTATTGCATTTTAATATTTTGTTGGACGCCGCCCAGAGTGGCTATATATAATAGACAAACAATAGGAAAGAGAAATCTTACGAAGATTTTATTGATCATTGATTTTATATCCTGCCCTTCCTCTCCAACAAGCCCAGGGCGGCAAACAAATACACAATTTAGGAAGGGGGAGGGAAGCATTCTAAAGCATTGTAAAAGCAATTACAATTAAAAGCCTCTAGTTACAGTTAGAAACATTCTTCCATCCTGTGATCTTGGGGCTGCCAGGAGCAGCATTCTTCAGCCACCAAATGCCTGGGTGAACAGGAATGTTTTCAGATTCCTCCTGATAGTTAATAATGGGTAGAGACTGGCACACCTCGCTAACACTGGGTTAGTCTGAGAAATAGCAGTTTATGAGAAATTATAATCAAAATAATGGATAGAGAGCATCACCTTCTGGTTTGTGCTGCCTGATTTTATGTGCATGCTTTGTGTCACTGGCTGTCACACCCTGGTAGAAAAAGGTTGCCCTCAGGAAGGACCATAGCTCAGTGACTGAGTACAGTACATGCTGTGTATGTAAAGGAGACCCAGAGAGCTGCTCCCATCAGAGTAGACTAGACTGAGATAGATGGATCAATAGTCCGAGCAGATATGAGGCAATTTCCTATATACCTAAATCCAGGGACACCTTCCTTTATGCTTTCGGTTAGGACAGGCATAGGCAAACTCCAGCCCTCCAGATGTTTTGGGACTACAAAACCCATCATCCCTAGCTAACAGGACCAGTGGTCAGGGATGATGGGAATTGTAGTTCCAAATCATCTGGGGGGCCGGCGTTTCCCTATGGACTCTGCAGTTTTGATTGACTGATGTGTGAATCCTGAACCAGCTGCTGCCTCTAGCACCTTCCCAAAATATACCAAAAATTCCCCTTCACCACTGTCACTGATCTGCCAAGCTCCGTGTGTCAATATAAATGCTCAGTTTTCTAGGTGACCTCGTAGTTGGTTCATACTGACTTTAGGCCTCTTCTGACCAGCGAAGGAAAGAGAAACTAGCCAAAGGAGTCAACAACCTAGAAAGAGCCTAGGTGTTCCTCCTCACTTCTGGGTTCCAGTAAGAAGTGGCCGGGTTGCATGATTATCTAGCAACTTCACAAATTATTTTTTTCCTCCAAATGTTCCCGCTGTTTTCTATGATACACCTCAAGTTGGTTGCAGGACAATCTGTTTGGGTAGTAGAGAGAGAGCAGGAAATCTCTAATTGTTGGAACTCTGGGTTTTCAACTCTGGCTCCAGTCTGGTGGAACACTCTGCCTCATGAGACCAGGGCCCTACAGGATCTGATTTCTTTCTGCAGAGCCTGTAAGACAGAGTTGTTCCGCCTGGCCTTTGGCTTGGAGCCAATTTGATTCCCTCCCTCTCTTTTTTCTTTTCCTTCTCCTGCGATGAGGCATTTTAATATGTTAATGTTTCAATATTTTAATGTTGTATTTTAATTTTGTTTTAAGTTGTAATCATTCAACTTGTTTTTATTATTGCTTGTTAGCCGCCCTGAGCCCGGCCTTGGCTGGGGAGGGCGGGGTATAAATAAAATATTATTATTATTATTATTATTATTATTATTATTAGGACCAGATGTTTCTGTTGTTGGCTTAGATGAGTCACGAGAGCCAGAACAAAAATAGGCTTGACCATTTATATAATAAAAATAATGGGAATTTCATTCTTATTATTATTCTGTAGATTTTAGACTTTGGCTTAGCCCGGCAAACGGATGATGAAATGACAGGTTATGTAGCAACACGGTGGTACAGAGCCCCGGAAATCATGTTGAATTGGATGCACTATAATCAAACAGGTAAGATGGAGGGGGGCGGGAATCTCCTTGTGTTGTGCTGTGAAATATGTACCTTAAGGGCTTGGATGGGAATACCTTTGTCATGCAGATTCTCCCCAACCCGGCAAGAAAGCCCCTTCTGATTGGTTGTTTTGTCTTTTGGCAGTTGACATTTGGTCAGTTGGTTGCATTATGGCGGAGCTGCTGAAAGGGAAGGCCCTTTTCCCTGGAAACGACTGTATCCTTTCCCCTACAAGTGCAAATATACTCTGGGTCTCGCACTGCTGGTGCCACGGATATGCTTTTAAAGCAGCGTTAGCCGTTTAAGACACACACACAAAAATGGTACAACAAACATATTAGTAATCATTAAAGTGACTGTTTTTCTCCTCCCACAGCTGGACGCGATAATGGTCATAAAGAGTAACAAACATTGTGTCCTTAAGCCGCAGTAGGCTGCCTAAAATCTTTGCTTTTCTACGCTTCATTTAAATAATGACCCAGATACAAAAACAGCTTGAAAAAGACAGTGGTTGCTGGGCTGGAGAACAGAGATGCTGAAAAGATTCATAGCTCCCTTGGAAAACACAGGGTATCAGCCTAGAATGGCTGGGGAAAATAATGCAATTTTATATATATATATAAATTATTATCCCTCTCTAATTTAGCAGCACCCAGGACTATCTGAAGACGATCTGTTCTTTTTCCATTTTGGAGCATATTGAAAGCAACCCGTATGGGGATTTCAACACTGGTACCAACCAACATGGGTGGGGTGATGCATCCCAGGTGCTGAGCTCACTTTTGAATACAGATTCCATAGGCTTACATCCTTTGTCCATCGTTGTTTGATGACTCATGTTGGAAGCATCACTTCCAGCAAGGTAACCATAGGAACTGGGCAGGCAGGTACCTTTATAAGGAGATGGATTTGCAAACAACAAGACCCTGGGGAAACCTTCCCCACTGCAATTATTAATGGCACTGTTAGAGACTGAGTGATACAAGAGATGATGGCTTTGGTCCCAAAGACCATGGGTGGATAAGGGCTCTCCTTATTCATTTGTGAAGAGGAAAGGGAACAGTATGTACTCACTGAAAACAAGGGCTTTGCCTTTCAAAGCCAACACTAGGAACTGTGCACACTCCTAGTGCTTGGACCACTGTCATAACAAACCACGCTCTGTAGGCTTAGAAGTGTGAAGGCTTTCAGCTTTGGCAGAATGGATAGTTTTATCTTCTAGAGCTGCCTTTCTCAACCTGTGGGTCCTCAGATGTTGTTGAACTACAACTCCCATCAACCCTAGCTAGCAAGGCCAGAGCTCAGGGATGGTGGGAGTTGTAGTCCAACAACACCTGGGGACCCACAGGTTGAGAACTGCTGTAGAGAGTTACTAATACCTGTATATAACACACACACACAAAGAGAGAGAGAGAGAGTTGTTCCATGGAAGTCGAACAGAATCCGTTCCAGAAATCTGTTCGACTTCCAAAATGTTCAAAAACCAAATCACGGCTTCTGATTAGCTGCAGGAAGCTCCTGCAGCCAATCAGAAATTGCAAAAGCCCTGTCGGACGTTTGGGTTCCAAAAGAACGTTTGGAAACCGGAACAATCACTTCTGGGTTTGCGGCGTTCGGGAGTCAAAACGTCCGAGTTCCAGGGCGTTTGGGAGCCAAGGTACGACTGTATGGGTAGGCTGTGATATATATCAATCACGGCCTACCCATACAATGACAAGCTTTGTTTGGTATTTGGTGATGGATCATACTCTTATAACAACCAAATCTGAGATTTCTACTAAACTCTTTTATCATTTCCTAAAAAGACCATTGGATCATTCAGCTAATATAGCCAAGGACTTAAAGACATACACTGTATAACTCTGTTTCAGTTTCCATTGTCTGGTGAAGAATAAGATTGCACTGTGTCTGCAAAGAGCTTTATGGCATAAGGAAAGTCTACTTCTCTAAACTTCCACCGTTAGATAACGGAGTAGATTAAGCAGAGGTTGGACACAGGTTTGGCAATTTATGTAAGCAAGTGGCTCATCTGCTATTTCACCACGTTTCCTGTAGCTTTCTTAAATTTGTACAGATATTGACCAGCTGAAACGAATAATGGAAGTGGTTGGTACACCCAGTTCTGAACTTCTCAAGAAAATCTCATCAGAGCATGTAAGTGCAATGTTTCACCAGGAATAATCATTGAGATCTATTTGCTGTCTCATGTTGGTTTCCTGAGTTGTTCAGGAACAAAATGTTTTCAACTTACGAAGCTTTTTAAAGCAGTTAATGGTAATCATGTGTAAGCAGTGAATTTTAGAATGTTAAAAGACGCTAGGTGTTTTTAATACAATCCTATTGTGGGTTTGGGACGCGGGTGGCGCTGTGGGTTAAACCACAGAGCCTAGGACTTGCCAATAAGAAGGTCGGCGGTTCGAATCCCTGCGACAGGGTGAGCTCCCGGTGCTTGGTCCCTGCTCCTGCCAACCTAGCAGTTCAAAAGCATGTCAAAGTGCAAGTAGATAAATAGGTACCGCTCCGGTGGGAAGGTAAACGGCGTTTCCGCGCGCTGCTCTGGTTCGCCAGAAGCGGCTTAGTCATGCTGGCCACATGACCCAGAAGCTGTCTGCAGACAAACGCCGGCTCCCTTAGCCAATAAAGCAAGATGAGCGCCGCAACCCCAGAGTCGGCCACGACTGGACCTAATGGTCAAGGGTCTCCTTTACCTTTTATTGTGGGTTTGTGAAGAAAAGGAGAACCACAGCATTTGGTTTGTAGGCAACGTAATCTAAGCAACCTATGAAAGACAAGTAAATGGGGAAGCCATAGCAAACACATAATATAGATGCCATTTTCTAACCATGGTTAGAATGTATACATGGTTGCTTATTCCAGGGGGGTACCTAGATTAGGGGGGGGGACAGGGAGAAAAGCATATTTTTAAGAACTAAAAATATTATCATGGCATAAGATTTTGTGGACTTGAACCCATGACATTGCATTCAGTAGGCAGATTTCCTACAGTGTAAACCATTGAAAAATGCAGTCACCGGAGATAATACTTTCTTGCTATGCTGTGTTAATTTAACACCTGTAGTGTGAAAGAAGCACACAGTCCTGATGAAGTCCAATTTGAGTAAGACTGAATTTTTTAGCTGTAGATTATTTTAGTAATTTATGTCACAACTGTAGAAGACAGTGGTTTGCAATGTCACACTAAGCCAAACCATGGTTTAGTTAGTGCAACCACATGCAGGCTCCCACAAGAGATCATGGTCGCATTGTCACAGGCATTTTTGCTGTTGACACCATGCATTGAGCTAAACTATGGCTGAAACTTGGATTCATTATTTAGTGCCTTCCAGTTGTAACCAAGGTTTGACTTAATGTGACATGCAAACCAAGCCACTAAGTAATGGTTTATCACTGTCTGTTCTATGTGTTTTTAGTGTGAATCCTGGGGAACGTGTGCTATTTAATATACCGTATTTTTCGCTCTATAAGACGCACCAGACCACAAGACGCACCTAGTTTTTGGAGGAGGAAAACAATAAAAAAAATATTCTGAATCTCAGAAGCCAGAACAGCAAGAGGGTTCACTGCGCAGTGAAAGCAGCAATCCCTCTTGCTGTTCTGGCTTCTGGGATAGCTGTGCAGCCTGCATTTGCTCCATAAGACTCACACACATTTCCCCTTACTTTTTAGGAGGGGAAAAGTAAGTTTTATAGAGCAAAAAAATACGGTACTCTGTTTTGACACAGAACACAGCGGGGGTGGGGGTTGAATTCACTCTCCTTCCCCCACGGGTGATTGCTGAAACGATACTTTTGGATGATTCTCATCCCACTCCATGCATCTACAAAGTTGAATCTATTTAATACACAGCAACTGGAAATGGCCTCTTTAAAATATTCAGCAGAATTACAAGAGGACACACGAGAACAGTCTAAGTCAAATATGTCTCTGTGTTTAGTTAAAGACTTGCCGGTAGCATTTTTGGAATAAATGCCTGTTTTGCAAATTACACACTTAAATGCCATTAAACATATTGGGTGAGATTAAATGGATAATTGAAAGATTATAATAGTAGTGAGATTAAAGGGGGCAGTTGAGGGATTCATTATCTACCCATTTTGTGAGCAAATAATGATGGCAAGCAATGAAAAGTATGGCTGTTAATTAGGTTGCCGTGATAGTGGCTTTATTATAAAAAGCATAAAAAACGTTAAGGAGAGAAATTAAAACTTGCAGGTACTTAGAAAAATGCCCAAGCCAATAACATTAGAGTATTGTTGTCTGCTTGCATGTTTTTAACTCAAATGTAACACATTAATTCTTGATGAAGAACTACCTGTCTTCAGGTTGAATCCTGACAAGACAGAAGTATGGTTTTGGGGAAACAGGGGGCGGGCGGGTGTGGGGGACTCCCTGGTCCTGAATGGGGTAACTGTGCCCCTGAAGGACCAGGTGCGCAGCCTGGGAGTCATTTTGGACTCACAGCTGTCCATGGAGGTGCAGGTCAATTCTGTGTCCAGGGCGGCTGTCTACCAGCTCCATTTGGTACACGGGCTGAGACCCTACCTGCCCACAGACTGTTTCGCCAGAGTGGTGCATGCTCTAGTTATCTCCCCTTGGACCACTGCAATGCAATCTACGTGGGGCTACCTTTGACGGTGACCCGGACACTACAACTAATCCAGAATGCGGCAGCTAGACTGGTGACTGGGAGTAGCCGCCGAGACCATATACCACCGGTCCTGAAAGACCTTCTTTGGCTCCCAGTACGTTTCCGAGCACAATTCAAAGTTTTGGCACTGACCTTTGAAACCCTAAACGGCCTCGGCTCAGTATACCTGAAGGAGTGTCTCCACCCCCTTCGTTCTGCCCAGACACTGAGGTCTAGCTCTGAGGGCCTTCTGGTGGTTCCCTCACTGCAAGAAGTGAGGTTACAGGGAACCAGGCAGAGGACCTTCTCGGTAGTGGCGCCCACCCTGTGGAACACTTTCCCATCAGATGTCCAGGAAATACACAACTCCCTGGCTTTTAGAAGACATCTGAAAGCAGCCCTGTTTAGAGAAGCTTTTAATATTTTATCTTTTATCATGTTTTTAATGTTCTGTTGGGAGCCGCCCAGAATTCCCTATCCCTCGATAGGGAATTACAAAAGTTATTGCTTTAGGTTTTCTGTTCCTCCTGTTTCTCTGTTGTACTCAGAGCTGCTCTTGGTTGCTTGGCCATATCCTTCTCCAATCATAGCAGTCTCTGATCATTTCCTGAGGTGTATCTGGTGATGTTCCCAGAATGCCAGTTATAAGTGTTCTAAGTTCTGAAGAAGAGTGCTTTTGGAGACTTGCAAGTAAGTTAGTCAAACACTTAAGGTAAAGGGATCCCTGACCATTAAGTCCAGTCATGGACAACTCTGGGGTCGCAGCGCTCATCTCACTTTATGAGCCGAGGGAGCTGGCGTTTGTCCGCAGACAGTTTTTCCAGGTCATGTGGCCAGCATGACTAAGCCACTTCTGGCAAACCAGAGCAGCGCACGGAAACGTCGTTTACCTTCCCGCCAGAGCAGTACCTATTTATCTACTTGCACTTTGATGTGCTTTCAAAGTGCTAGGTGGGCAGAGGCTGGGACCGAGCAACGGGGGCTCACCCTGTCACCAGGATTCAAACCACCGACCTTCTGACCGGCAAGCCCTAGGCCCTGCGGTTTAGACCACAGTGCCACCCGCGTCAAACACTTGCTGTGTAGTAAATCCCAAAGTCCTATTAAAAGGCCAACTCGCTTTTCAAATGCACCTAACGAATGTAGTTATTTGCTTTTAATGAAAAGCAGCTTCAGGAGGCTGTAATTTTCAGCACATGAGAGTGGCATGGGTGTGGGACGATGAAGCATGTCTGACCTGAATGATTTTTCATATGAAAAACGGAAGTGAGCAGGAAAACATGGAACAGACAATAATGAATATAATTGGTCCAAAAATACGGTTTAGGTTTCAAAGTGTGTATGAGCAAGAATGTCACTTCTGCCCTTTTTATTGCTGTGACAGTACATTTTGACATTTCTGATGCCTGTTAAAGCGATGATGACTGCGTGATTCATATGGTTGCCACTGGGAATAGAGGATATGACACCTCTTTGCTGATCGCTGCTTTTCTAGTTCACCTCTATAGACCTGTGCAGATTCTGCAGTCATGTATTTAATAATGTGTTTTTTTATATTCCTTGAGGGTCACTCAGGGCAGTCCCTCAGGTACACTGCTGAGTCCAGACTTCACTCAAAATACCTGCCGTCTCCACCTGCTGTCTTATAGACAGCATTAGGACTATCCCTTTATATTTTTACTGAAGTGCATTTACATTAGGTATGTGGTGTGTTTACCTTGGAATCCACCCAGGCCAGAACACAGACAGTTAGAACTTCAGAATATATGTGAGAACGCAAACGTATATGTAATTTAGGTAACATTCAGAACAAGCAGTCATTATAGGCAGAGTTCTAATTCCCTAACTCACTAGCTTAAGTTTCATAACAGGGGTCTGATACTTCGACATATACTTTCATTATCTCTCTCATCTCATTCCCCACACACGCCCAGATACACTTCCACACTATCATTTCTCAGCAACACTCTACCAGTTACCCCCTAATATCAACCATCCTTCCACTTAATTCTTCTGTCACAGGGTTATATCAGGGTTTCAATAGCACCTGATTTACACCCATATTTAGCAGAGGTGAGATGGATGAAGAGAGCTAACCAAAAAAAGTGGTTTGCCTCTCATCTTTGAGTTGCAATTTTATTAACTCTCTATCTTGTAGATTGATATCTATAAACCTTGCAAATATTCAGGGATGGCTGGTTGTGTTGAAATGCCATTATTTTTTATGTCTAGGCACCAAAGGAGTTGTGTGTGTTGATTCTTCAAGGGTGATTATATATATATATATTACCAAAAACCTAAATAATGCATCCACCTTCCTTTATTGCAGGCCAGAAAGTACATAGAATCTCTACCGCACATGCCTCAACAGGATCTGAAAGCAGTATTTCGTGGAGCCAACCCATTAGGTATAAACTTGGAGGTTTTAGTATTTACTATACTTGTTTTGCACAGGTAACCTGAAGCGTCTGTAACCTGAAGTGTCTGTAACCCGAGGTACCACTGTATTAAACTAGGGATCAATGGAGGCAAGTCCCTAGCCCCTCTCTTTTTCAGCGTACACCAGCACAAAAGCCCTGGATGGTGAACGTGTGTGCACTTACTATAGTAGTAAGTTGTGCTATATATCCCACCCCCTCCTTGAGGATCTCCACCCTCTTAGCCAACACCCTTCCTTGCCTTTACAGCACTTGCACAGATCAGCAGTTGAGAAGGGAGCGGAATTGATCATGCAGGACTTATATGCAGCCTTGGTTTGGGGATCAGATTGTGTATTGCATAAGCTGTCGGTCTGACTTCCTGCTTTTCAGCCAAAACGTTGCCCAAGGTTACTCGTGGATCTCTTAATTCAAAGTCTAAGGTCTCCCTGTTTACCCTTAGCACATAGCAATCTGGTTCAAGGCTCTCTCAAACCCTCTAGCATTCAGAATTGCTAAGCTAATGGCAACCAGATGTCACAAGCCACCTGAGATTACTGCAGCAAATAAGGTGCTTGCCACTAGACAGCACTTAATATTGGCTGTGATCATGCTAGTTATTAATTAGTAATTAATAAGCTGTGAGCGTGCTGGTAATTAAATGATGTTTTATACGTTTTGTATGTAGAAACTTAACTCAGCTAAGCATCAATTATCTAGCATGCCTGTGTAAATATATCGTTATTTTCTTTCTTTAAAATATACACAAACAGGGATCTGTTATTTCCTTTTCATCATGGTTCATCTGCAATTTCATGCTTGACTGTTTGCATTTTGTGCCTGGGAACTGATTCCCAGATACAAAATGCTTTGTGCAAAGTGGTACCAAATAAACATGTTTATAATGCTATATTTTCCTTTGGTTAATTTATTTTTTAAATAAATATTTTGCAACCTTGAGATTAGGTTGTGGAAGGCATGCAGCATTTTACTCAAGATATTTCAGTTTTCCTGATGATGGTGGTAAAGTGATTTTTGATTTTATTTTCTTTTAATCCTAGCTGTAGATCTTCTTGAGAAAATGCTTATACTGGATAGCGATAAAAGAATAACAGCAACAGAAGCACTTGCGCATCCTTACTTTGTACAATACCACGATCCTGATGATGAACCTGAGGCAGAACTGTATGATGAATCAATAGAGAATAAAGAACGGATTATAGATGAATGGAAAGGTAAAGAAGTCTGTTGTTCTGCAGTTGACATGCAGAGCAACCCCCCACCCCAAATTCTAGAAGACCAAAGAAAATTGGGTTTATAGACAGTTTCTACAGAACTCTTTGATTCCATTTTTAGGACTGCATGAGGAAATGAAATCTCTTTGCCTGGTTTCAGTGACTTGAGGGGATTTCTATTTTTTTGTTTATTTTGGTTAAGCTTTGTTTTGAAATCTAAAGAAGGAAAAGCCATTTGTTCAGAACTTGCAAGCATTTGATAGGAACTGGCCCCGGCATGTACATTGTGAACTATGGGACCTGTAGCTTCTTGCTAGAATTACTTCAGATGTTTGCTTTAACCTCAGCCTCTGGATGTTAACAGCATCTTAAGATATATAGTCTCATATCTGCTCAAGGCTAAAGTGGCAAAGAATATCCCTTGCTAGCAAAACATGTTGCCTGTGACATTATTTAAACAGAGTAAGGCTTTCAATGGCACCTTGAAGTTTTAAATAATGCCACGGGCAACAATTTTTTTGCTAGCAAGGGATATTGTTTCAGGTTTAAGAAGTGAATGAAGACGGGCACCTGAAAATTACATAAACACACAACTCGCTTTGTGCAAAATATCCTATGGCTTGGATCCTATGTTAACAGCATTCAGAAGCCTCTCTGAAGGGTTGAAAGAACCCCTCAACAATGTGGGATGGCGAGTCGGAAAATGGAGGGCAGGATTTATTGTCTGAAATTTGACATGAGCCCTAATACAACATTCAAGTTCACAGAAGGTTCCTGTTCCACATTTGTTCCTTTCTGATGAGCCTTCTCCAGAGAGCATTTTCAGAAGACTCGGGGGATGCAGTAAAATTTCTTTCCATGAACTTCCACCTTACGTTCAGGTTCCAGCCTGTGTTCTTTTATTCTCTTGTGTGATCAACACATAGGGCATCACCTTAATCTCCCCCAGTGTTTCCCATACTTGGGTCTCCAGCTGCTTTTGGACTACAATTCCCATCAACCTTGACCACTGGTCTTACCAGCTAGGGATGATGGGAGTTGTAGTCCAAAAACAGCTGGTGACCCAAGTCTGGGAAACACTGATACACACACATTCCAATTTGATTTTTCTTCTTTTGACTGCTGAGTCAAGAGATAATTCCACCAGCACTCTAGTTAGGTTTGCTGCTTGTTACCGGTATATTCAGACACTTTCTTCTTACTTGGTGGAGTTTAAACACTTGCTCCCTTTCATTAGCAGCCTGAACTTATGCATGTTTATTTGGAAGTGAGTCCCACTGAGTTCAATCTTGCTTGCTCCCAAGTAAGTGTGCATAACAAATCTCTCAATGTACCCTGTGGCCCAATTAAAACAATTTTAAGTCAAAGCACACATGTGTGCTGTGGAAATACTTTAGCTGAGAGAGTTTTGTGGCGTATTTTCCACAACTTGTTGGTGATGGTGGTCCTTATCCACCAATCTGGGATAAGATAGCCTGCCCAGTTGTATAGCTGGGGAGTCAACCTTCTGCTAGACCAGACTTCCTCAACCTCGGCCCTCCGGATGTTTGGAGACTACAGTTCCCATCATCCCTGACCACTGGTCCTTCTAGCTAGGCATCATGGGAGTTGTAGGCCAAAAAACATCTGGAGGACCGAAGTTGAGGAAGCCTATGCTAGACTTTACAAAATAACCTCATAACAAATTACCATTCACTGGGTGGGGGTGGGGGGTGGGAATGTGTATTCACACCGTGAGAAAGTAGTTCTTTGTTACACGCTAATTCCCCACACACACACACACACTGCCTATCAACATTTATTTCTGTAAAATGCAGTAACCTCCCTTTCTTTAAATAATAGACAACCCTTGGTTTAAAGAGGCAGAGGACACAGTTGTATATTTTTTCCCCTACCACTTGAAATGTTGAGGCAAGCTGGTTTTAATATTATTCGCATGCACTTCACCCAATGATGGGTATTATATAAGGGATGTTTCAGTGAAATGCCTTCTAGCAAAACTCACAAAGAAAAGCAGAAGTGAAATCCTTACATACACTGGGCTTTCGATTTTAGAAAGATACGTTGTTTTCCCAGAGATTGTTGCTGTGATGTGGCCAACCATCATTAATCATAACACTTTTTGATTCTATCTCTCTTGAGTTTCGATTTTAAAAATGGCTGTTTTATTTTCATAAAAGCTTTCGCTCCATGTTTTAGAGGTTTTGTACTGTATTTTGTACTGTATTAGAGGTTTTGTACTGTATTGTACCCGCGGGGATGCGGGTGGTGCTGTGGGTTAAACCACAGAGCTTAGGACTTGCCGATCAGAAGGTCGGCAGTTCGAATCCCCGCAACGGGGTGAGCTCCCGTTGCTCGGTCCCTGCTCCTGCCAACCTAGCAGTTCAAAAGCACATCAAAGTGCAAGTAGATAAATAGGTACCACTCCAGCGGGAAGGTAAACGGCGTTTCCATACGCTGCTCTGGTTTGCCAGAAGCGGCTCAGTCATGTTGGCCACGTGACCCAGAAGCTTTACGCCGGCTCCCTCGGCCAATAAAGCGAGATGAGCGCCGCAACCCCAGAGTCGGCCACAACTGGAACTAATGGTCAGGGGTCCCTTTACTGTATTCCACCATAACCCATCTTAAAGTTGTAGAAGCAATTTTTGAAATTAAAAGGGTTTCAAACTATGTTAGCATTAGTTCTCATCAGCATCCAGATGCTAAGATTCCCCCCTAGAGCTGCCTTATCCAGTTCTTTCAGAAGAGCTGAGTGGGCTTTTAATTTAATGTGTATGTATAGTAATGTCACTAACATAAAATCTCCTGATCTTAACACCTTACGTGGGTGAGGGGGAAAGGAGATGGTTGCTCAGTTTTGTGGGGTGGGGCTACATTATTCAGGACTTTAAACACTACTGCAAGTACCTTGATTTTGACCCAGAAACCAGTTGTTGTTCTCTTAATATTACATCTCATCTCCATCACCTCCACCATGTCTGAGTGTGAGAGAGACCATTTTTCTATGCTCGGCTGTTCTGTTTTAATTTAAGCAGTGTCAGTCTGTGTGCAAGCAGAACGTTAAAAGTTTTGCATCCATGAGATCATTCAAACCAAATAGCCAGACAGGTAGGTACTTTCATTCAAATTTAAGGAAAGTTTCTGTAGTTGATATGTCCGTGTCAATGTGGGGAAATTGTGTTATTTTGTATCCTGGACAAACTAGTCAGATGGCACTGTGTGTTCCTGATACAGACTGTGCAATCCAATTGTTTTATTTTAAAAAGCGAGACTTCACTTCATTAGGAGTTAGGATCCTTACACAGAAAGGGAAATGTATTTAAACGGTCATTGGCAAGACATGCAGAAATCTGTCTACCGGATCTGATTGTTTCTTCTGCAGAGTTGGGTCATTCATCCTCAGTGCTAGAGAAAAATGTGTTTTTAGGGATTTTATAGCCATGGTTCGTTACAGTACAGTAGTCAGCACAGCCTATCCTTCAGTATATAGTTGTTGGCACAGCAAATCTGAGGTTCAGGTTCTTGGTATATTAAACTTGTATGTCTCTCTGTGTTGAGAAAGCGAACAACCACAGACATTTCCTTGAATATGTGTGTTCCTTCTGCCTTCAACGCCCTGATGCGTATCTAAATTACTAATATTTTATATTCACGTTGGTTTTTTCTCTCTCTCTCTCTCATTCAAGAACTTACATATGAAGAAGTGATCAGCTTCAAACCACCCGATTTAAAGATGGATAGCCTTGAAATTGAACAATAAATCCAGAACCTTATCTTTTTTTGCCATGCTGTACTATGAAGACTATTAAACGGATTGCATTGCAATTTAATTTCATATACCACAAGCGTAGATTTTACTATCCAAAGATCTTGGAAGAGCTATGGGAAAGCAGATAAATAGCGCTGAAGGAAAATGTATCCGGGGTGTGTTTTGCCTTGTACCACGAATGTAATAATTACAGAACATTAAGAACCGCTTCATTATGACAAATGATGCACTGAGGGTTTGTTTTTTTTACAAAAAAAAACTGTGTCTTCTCTGCATGTCTCATTCTATTGGTTGTGATGCCAAAAACGGTGATTTTAATATTATTTTGAGGCTGTACAGTTAAAGCATGAATGTATGTTGAAACAAAAATAGAAGCCCATACAAGCAATTTATTATTTTTAAGAGTTACCTTAATTCTATGTTGTGTTATGTTTATTACTTTTTAATTTATAGATAGTGCCTTTAGGAGAAGGGGCCACTGTAGTAAGTTAGTCATAATAGATACCTGTAGTGGTTTTCATGACCATGCTAAGAGTTTCTGGAGTGATTGACCGACAGTTGGAAGTCAGTGAGTCAGATCATTGTTTTGTCATTAGAGTTTGCCGTCATTTTTCCTATAGTTGTAGAAAACTGCAGAGCACAGTTTTACTAGTGATCTAGCCCTAAAATGGTCCACTGTGTCAAGTTCTAATGAGTGGAATTTATCGCACACATTTGAGTTCTTTGAAGATCTAGCTCCCCACTAGAGCACTTTCTCTGTAATTTTGGAGTGCCTGTTCCTCCCCTCCCCTGTCAATAAACTGTTTTGAAAACAAAACATGTTTCCTGTGCTTTAAAAATGTTTATGGTGGCAATTAATTTTAATCTGGGTAAAAATGTATGTGCTGTGCATGAGCTGAAACTAGAATGTCTTTGGATTAAAAATAAAATAAAATCTGCAGCATACTATAGAAGGTATAAAGAAGTGGGTGGACAACTCTGGCCCTCAAATGGTAATGTATATGTCATTATGACCATTAAATACATCTAGTTCAGATCTGAGACTGGTAGGTCTCTGCTTGCCTCTAAAAGGCAGACTCATAAATGGGACACTTCCTCTTTCATACTCTCACTTAGGAGCTTCCTCTGGAAAAAGCAGCCTTGGAGTTTGAGAGTCTTTGTATGTTTGCACACACACATATCTGAGGCTCCGGTCTGCTATGTAAGCCAGCCTAACCATTAAGAGTAGTTTCTGAGGCCCTGTTCTCTAGCCCTCCAGCCAAGAGCCATCTTGCTGGCAGGTATCAGGGATGGGGCTTTCTCAGTGGTGGCCCCTTCCCTAGGGAGATAGATATACTTGGTCTCATTGCTGGAAGGTTCCAAAATTGGGCAGCAGCGTCTTGAGCATCTCTTGGGATAAACTAATAGATATATACCATAATGACGCAGTAGCTACTAGTAACAGGGAACCATATGGAAACTGTTTTTGTAAAGAAGTTCTCCACACAAGTGAGCCAGTTTGAACCATCCCGTGCAAGAGCCACCTGAATATTGTTGGTATAATACGGGAGTGGTGAACCTGTGGTCCTCCAGATGTTGTTGGATTCCAACTTCCATCATTTCAAGTCAGCATAGCTAAGTCGGGATGATGATGATAAATTTATTATTTATACCCCACACATCTGGCTGGGTTTCCCCAGCCACTCTGGGTTGCTTCCAACAAAATATTAAAATACAATAGTCTGTTAAACATTAAAAGCTTCCCTAAACAGCGCTGCCTTCAGATGTCTTCTGATGGAAGTTGGGAGTCCAATATTTGGAAGGCTGCAAGTTCACCATCCCTGAAATACTGGAAGCCGGCGAATACAGAAAAAACCACTTCCACACCAATATGTAATGGCAGTTCGACCTTCTAGGTACTTGCCGTTTTGAACGTCCTCAGAAAGGGAGTGAATGGCTGCTAAAATTGTATATTAAAATCTTAACATGGAGAATTTGGCAAGGTTGAATATTTCAGAATCTCTCAGTGTACCATCTTTGATCCTGGGGTTACCCTCATACACAACAGTTTTGTGGCACCTAAAAGACTTAATAGGTGTACTGTGGTGTAAGCTTTTGTAGACTAGAGCCCATCACCAGAAGTATGATATGCCTGCCTTGGCAGATCTGTTCACACTAGCATAGAGCAGGGAAATGTAAACAGTTGGTCACACACTCAAGAGTATTCAAAGGGGGGCCTCCAAAGTCCATCTCATCCACCCTCCGTGCCGAAGCAGGAAATCCCACTGCTACAATTTCTGTCAAAAGCCAGCTGGAAGCAAAGAGCTGCAAAAACGGGAAGTCATAAAAAAAAATGGTTTGGCTTCTTCAAGAGTCCAAGCTATGAATATTGGCAGTCTTCCCAAATACAGAAGGGAACTGTCTCGCATGTTGACCCTTTTGTATTTTGTGCTCCCAGCAACTGTTGGTTATTTGTGTCTAATATTCCAGCAAATGTGCAGGTTATAGAATATATTCTTGTTCCAAAACTACACTACTGTGCCCAAATAAATACAGACCACCAGCTGGAATATACTCCTACGCACGGGATTGATTTTGTATTTCTGTTATCGTTCCTTCTCACCTTGTTAACCTGATTGATCCTACGGTAACGCAGCTTTTTAAAAATCTGTTTGATCCTGCTGGCAAGGATAGTTCATAACAAACCAGTTATTTTCCAATGTGCTATTATTAAGTCATTAGAAACCAAGGTCCAATTCCATTGAAATGGTTTCCTTCCGCTGTGTGCTGTTTGCTACCATGCAGAGAGACAATCATGGTACCAAAGCTCATTTTCCACTTCAAAAACTGTTCTGGCCTATAAGCCCAGAGGTGTGACAGAAAACAAGGCATGCTTGTCATGTTTTTCATGACTGCCTCTGTGCCCAAAGCATAATGTCGAAAGAGACGGTCTCAGTCAACCCTAAAAACAGGTTCTCTCCTGGAACCATTTGGAAACAACCCCAAATCTCGTAAATACTGGGTCACCGCAGCCACTCTTTAGTTCAGCCTGTGGCAAATCTCCCTTTTGGTGAGTTATTTGTGATGGCCACAGTTTTTACCTCCCACTTACAGGCAAGGTTAAGGTGGATTAACCATGATATGCAAAACAGACAGTTATTGCTAGAGGTGAATGAGTCACACAGTTCTGCGAAGGAAGTAACAGGTCTGCCACAAATCCTGCAGTTACAAGTAAACCAGCTGCAGACTCCAATGACAAACACATATAAGGAAAAATGTGGGGAATGCACCCTTTCCCATTTTTTAGCTGCCCTGCTTATGAAAGAGATGAAAGGGTAGCAATTGAATTAATTTTGCAAGTCGCAGCAGCTACTTGCATTCATGGTTCTTGATGCTTATAGAAAAATAGTGCGGTGTAATTTATTGGACTGTTCCAGAATTGGCAAACTGCAAATAATTTGACTTATGTACCCTAATTAAATTTATTCGTATTCAAGGTTCCACAAGTCTCTTTCTTGTTCCTAATCCACTATTTTCACTCAGGAACTTCATTGTTTGTTGACATAGGTGGGGATGGAAAATCAGGCACATGAAAAGATACCATGGATAAAATGTATCCGGAGAAGAATTGCCAGATTCACTAATGGGGTGTGTGGGTGTGGGCGTGGGTGTGCTGGTGAGTGAATGAATGAATGAATGAATGAATGAAAATAAACAACAGTATAAAGACAAGTAAGGTACATTGCTACTGGATTTGGAAGTTCGTGATTGAGTAGAGTTTCCAAGTCCAGATGCCATTATGTTGTATACCAGATGTTGCTTTCATGCCTTGACTGAGCACTGTGGAAGAGGCTCTTAAAACTACAAGATGTGAAATTTAGTTTGAATCATAGAATCATAGAATCATAGAATCATAGAGTTGGAAGAGACCACAAGGGCCATCGAGTCCAACCCCCTGCCAAGCAGGAAACACCATCAGAGCACTCCCTGACATATGGTTGTCAAGCCTCTGCTTAAAGACCTCCAAAGAAGGAGACTCCACCACACTCCTTGGCAGCAAATTCCACTGTCGAACAGCTCTTACTGTCAGGAAGTTCTTCCTAATGTTTAGGTGGAATCTTCTTTCTTGTAGTTTGGATCCATTTGCTCCGTGTCCGCTTCTCTGGAGCTCTGAATCACCAGGGACAGTTCAATTACAAAATCCACTTTCTAGCCAACCATCTCAAAGGTGACACCTGACAATCAAAAGTGCAACCCTCACATGCAAACAACAACGTGGAAACCATACTGCTTATTTAGGAGGAGATAAAAAAACGATTTCTCTTTCCCGCCATTTCCCCCATTTTGCCCTACAGGATTCTTTATGTACGTAAATGGACAGAAGAAATTCCCTCCAAAGAAGAATCGGCAAAGTTGACAGCCAAAATAAGAGAACTTAATGGTGATAGTTTTGTGGAAGAATGAAAGCCTTATTCGGATGACTGAAAGAAATGCTATAGTATGATGAATTCGTGATCAGGATTTGAACTATGAGCAACAGAAGGAATTAGAGATTATTGTTGTTATGGTATAAGACCCGGGTGCCACCTTGAAGAAAACATTAGGAGGGGCCAGGTAAGCCCTGAAGCACATAATTGATCACATGACATGTGATCGATTTGAATGACTATGCCCATCAACTTTAGGGGGGCAGCTCCCTCATAGAATCATAGAGTTGGAATAGACCACAAGGGCCATCGAGTCCAACCCCCTGCCAAGCAGGAAACACCATCAGAGCACTCCTGACATATGGTTGTCAAGCCTCTGCTTAAAGACCTCCAAAGAAGGAGACTCCACCACACTCCTTGGCAGCAAATTCCACTGTCGAACAGCTCTTACTGTCAGGAAGTTCTTCCTAATGTTTAGGTGGAATCTTCTTTCTTGTAGTTTGGATCCATTGCTCCGTGTCCGCTTCTTGGAGCAGCAGAAAACAACCTTTCTCCCTCCTCTATATGACATCCTTTTATATATTTGAACATGGCTATCATATCACCCCTTAACCTCCTCTTCTCCAGGCTAAACATGCCCAGCTCCCTTAGCCGTTCCTCATAAGGCATCGTTTCCAGGCCTTTGACCATTTTGGTTGCCCTCCTCTGGACACGTTCCAGTTTGTCAGTGTCCCTCAAATATTTTATGGAGGGCAAAGACCCCCTCGGCCCCTAGGAGTTGGCTCCTATGGTAGAAAAGATAGAAGATATGGTGCAGCAAAGGGGGAGAAATAAAAAATACCACCATGGGAAACGGGCTGGGAAGTCGACAAAACAAAAGAGACCTTTATGTGTTGGAGTGTATATGCAGGGCTGGATTTAGGCTTGATGAGGCCCTAAACTACTAAAGGTAATGGGGCCCTTTATACGCCCAACTGTCCTTTGTCAATAACAAATTGTCGCTGTTTTTTCATAGCTGTCAACCTTTCCCCTTTTTTTAAGGGAAATTCCCTTATTCCGAATAGGATTCCTCGCAGGAAAAGGGAAAAGTTGACAGCTATGTGTTTTTTGTGTCGAATATATGCTATAGGGTAATTTATGGATCTAAGCCATTTGCACATAACAAAATATGCATTTTATCAAAGTAAATTGTTGAACTGAAATACAATTAAGAAGAAGTAGATTATACTGTATTTTGGAAATGTACATCCAGTTTTTGTTTTCCTTTAAATTTGGGGAGGGGGCAAGAGAGTGGGACCCTGAGCTATACGTAGTTTGTTTAGCTTATACGTAAATCCGGCACTGTGTATATGTGAAACTTTTGAAATGTAATAAAATATAACCTCCGGTGCCGGGGGGGGGGGAGATTTCT